AGGAGGAAGCACTCGACCCAGGAGGGTGCATTCATTGACCCCTGTAGGCACCAAAAGCAGAGAAGTAGTGTGACACACTACAGGAGATGCAGAGTTATGTTTTCTGTGCTCAGCCTAAAACCCAATAGTCAGCTTCACTACTTGACCAAGATCAAATTTGTGGAGGTGTAGCTCAGTGATAAACATTAAAAGTTGTTCCTTACAAAAGTCTACAAATACCCACTGCATCTTCCTTCCTACTTTTTTCCTCCATTACCTTCAGCTTGAAATTTATTGTAGCAAGTCTCTGTGCACTTTTTATCCTTCCCAAAACTGAAGTGATCTACTGGAGTGTTTGCACCCATCTCAGGGCATTGCAATTTTATTGGTATCTGTGGGGTTATAGTACTACCACAGGAACCACCTCTGGATTGGGCCCTACTATGATTTTTCATTATCACATTTACAGTGTGATCCATTGGCAAAAATCCTACAACCCAGCTAATAGTCAAATACTCCTCCACAATACAGACTTGCATGGAATGTCATGCATCCACTTCCACCAGTGTGTAGCTACTGTCTAGGCAAAGCCAAGTTTTAAAGTCTCTCCTTTTTTATTTTTTTGAGCATTATTTCCTTCAGCTGTCACACATGGTTTCCTCAGCTTTCTGCTCTTTCTTCGGTCCCACCTTGGTATGAATGTGGGCAGAAATCACTTTAACTATCTGTTTGCAATCACATCAGAGGAAAAAAAATCAGGAAGGCTTTTTCTCTTGTTTTCCTGGCAGTTTGTGATGAGTCCATCAAGAAAAAGAAAAAAAAATACAGTGTCAAGGTCCATAGTCCATAAATGGGAATTGCACTTTTCTCCTGTTCTTAAGAGTTTCCTAATAGTTAGAGAAAGTAACTTAAAAGTAGTAGAACAGTTATCCCCAAGAGGCTGCTTACAGAGTGAAGGATATAGGATGCAAATGTTTGTTGAAGAAGGAGAGAGTAAAGTATTAAAAAAAAATATTGCTCCAAGACTTAGTCTAAGTACCTACCGTGTTCAGTAAAGAAACTCAGGACAATCTTGAGTCCCCTTGAAGAGAGCTGCTGAGCAAAACTTCAGCTCCTTCAGAAGGCCACGCACATTTTAAAAATAGTCTTTAACCCCCCCCCCCCCCACACACACACTAATCCTGCACGGCTCACAGCGACGTGTAAAATCCTGAAATCTCGGGGGATAGGAAATTTCATTTTCGGGGACGGAGCAGACAAGAGTCGCTTCTCTACGGGAGCCGGCTCTCTAGAGGTAGCAAGAGATTTGCTGATTTGGCAGGCCGGCTCTGGAAGCGCCCGCACGGCTCCGCCACTGTCGGGGGGCACGGGCGGCACCGCGCCCCGGAGCGCCGGGCTGGCCTCGTGTGACCCACCAGGCGCCGCAGCCGCAGCGAGCGCCGTGTTTGCCGAGAGTGAAAACAAACAAACAGAAACCCCCAAACAACAAATCCACGATAAAACAGAAAGGAGGGCGGGCGGGAGAAGGAGCCGGCTGGGCTCCCCCCGGCCGGGACAGGAAGCCTGCGGACCGGGGAGCCTCCGCGGAGCCGCGCCCGCCCGCCGGCCGGGGCCGCCTCTCCCGGGAAAGGCTGCTCGGGGCACTCCGGGGAGCGAGGGTCGCCAGGCAGCTCTCCCTGCCGGCCGTGGGTGAGGGCGGCGGCTGTCCCGGGGCCTCCAGGCTGCCGGGAAGCGGCGAGTCCGCACAGCTTTTTCCCTTTGGAGAGAAAAGCAGCGGGAAATAGAGAAAGGTGCATTTCTCTGGGCTTCGACTGCGCGGCTGTCAGCTGAGCAGGCAATCCCGCCGCAGCAAGTGCTCCCGGGATCCACGCTTTATGGGGCCACTGGGGAAAGAGACATGTGTGCCATACAGCCAAGACCAAAGCACAACAAGAGTCTTGGCCCGTGGGTCGCGGTGCTGGTGCTGCCCCGCCGAGCCCCTGCCTGTCGCAGCGCACCTGTCGCAGGGGCGAGCCCGAGACCTGGCAGATGTGCAAGGGTTTGCCTTCCTCGGTGCGACCCGGGAAAGCCCGTAATTTCTCGCCCAAGGAGCAGGTAAATCTCTCAAAAATAATTAAAAACAACAACAAAAAAACCCTAATCTGTGTAAAATGAAGACAGAGTTTCCTGGAGGAGGGACTTTAGCGAGGCTGCCAGGAGGATTTAGCAGCCGGATCCACGACAAACGACGCTGACATAAGCTCTACTCGGGGAGGTAACCATAGGATAGCTCAGGTTTCTGTAGGAAAACAGCATGCGGGAGTTGTGCCCCAGGGGAAAAAAATACCATAAAGCAGCAGGAGCTATTTCCAGAGTGAGCAGAAATTACAAATCCAGGGGCACCGACGCGTGACATGAAAGATTTCTGTGTAAAATCCCGAGACAGCTCGGAATCGTCCCAACATCCCCGGGTGATTCGCGTGCTTTAGCGCGGATTCGGACACCCACGCTCGAGTCTGTGCCCCCTGCCCCCGTGTTTGCAGGCGTCTCTCGAGCAGCTGCAGCCCAGGCCGGGTAACACGGACTTTAACTCGGACCTACCAAACCTCGTCCCGCTCTGAAAGGCGATGTCTGAGGCAGGGCAGCGTTTCCCGGCCGCTCCCGGGGCGCCCAGCACGAGGGTCCGGACGGGAGCAGGCCCGGCTGTCTCAAGTCTCCCCGTGTCGTTACAGCACAGACAACTAAAGAGAATTTGGGGTGGAGTTTTTTGTTTGTTTGTTTATTGGGGTTTTAAAAATATTCTAGAAATCCCCACGTCGAGCACTGAAACTGCTGAGTCTAATCCCAGATTTCTAAAGCGTTTGTGCTTCAAATTGCAGTCGGGCGCCACAGGCTGCTCCTGCTAGTCCACTTCTCCCGAGAGATCCCGCTACTTTTTCTGGGTTGTTTGTTCGTGGTGATTTTTTCGTGGG